AATATATTGTATTTAAAAAATGAAATTTAATTATGAGATATTTTAGACAATTCCCAACAACGAAATGTGAAACCTCTGAACAACGTCCACTGACGGAAACAAAGAAAGTGGCTGTGGTTGGAGGTTGGTGTCGGTTATTAAAGATTTCACTGTAATTAATAATTTTCCACAATAAAATAACTCAAGAACTACGAAATTTTAATAATAAACAATAAAGCAGTTCAAAGAATAAAGAAATTTGTACAATAAAATAATTCTTGTAGAGAAGAAGTAATGTCTTCACGCGAACATGTTAATACAATCTTCTACAACAAAAATTGAAATTCGAGGAAATTCTTTTGGGATTTATCTAGATTAAAATCTAATAAATGAACAATTCACAGAAGCAGAATATATAAATCATATAATCTAACAACCAATAAATTTATTTTCTTTTTGAATTCAAAGAAATTCGAAGCATGCACACGCAAATGCATCCGTGATACGAATTTAGAAATCTGATACGACTGATTCCTTGTTCCTGTGGTAAATTACCATCAAAATCAATAAAAATTCAGTATTTTTTTTTTACATGAGAAGATATCTTGTTCGCTAATTTAATAAAATTATCGTACAGTACAGTACGTTGAAAATTTCGAAAATAACACAGTAAATCCCCACTTTTACCATATAATTGGTTCTTGAAAAAAGCCATCGTAAAGCGAGTCATTCCAGTTCCCTTAGCTCTATGCTATATATCGAGATTACGTTCTTAGAAATAACAGTTTTAACTATATAATACTACACAGAGATTCACAACAAAGACACAGTAATTAAATTACTGGTTCTCAATATCTTTTTCGTGTCCTCAACCCACTATTTCTCATTGGTATAACCGAAGGTAGGTGCTATGACCAGCTATAATTAATCTCATTACGAGCGAAGCTGACCTCTAATAAGGTCGATCAGCATAGATGAGTGATAGGAATGACCTATCACTTATTTATACTGATGGGAATGCAATACTTGGGCTGGGGAGAGGATGAGGCTTTGTAAGATGTTAACAAAAAAAAAAAAAACACCACGCGTTCTTCGGTGAGGCGCGAACCCGCAACTAACTACGAGTGTTCAGTGAGTTTTTATCATTCAGCCACTGGTAGGCACAATCTAAACAAAGAATATAATTTAATATCATTTAGAATGTACTGAAGATCTCACATTGATAGATTTGAAGACCAATTGAAGCTAAAAGATGCTTTCGATTCTGTAATTGTTTAAGTCGTATCCAAAGCTAGCTTTTTTCAATTACACTTCTCTAGATGCTGGCATTTTAGGCACCTTAATATAAATGTAAATTGCAGGATTATTGGGATAAGGCAACGCGACACATGGACGATCTACTAAGGGAGTGCACTACCCGGGAGGACTTTCTTAGGGAATCTGGCTCCATTTAGGTGAGGAAAGACTGGAAAACTACGTGGTGAGGCACCACGCTCAGTGATTTTACATACTTGACCACTGATGGTCACATTAATATTGTAAAACACAAACCTACTTCATTAATTGAGCGACAATTACCACATATAAATACGTTCTTGTTTCAGATGTTTCATGCAAAAATGATAATTAAAACAAATTTACTTGGTCCATTTTCATATTTAGTATTTTTTCTTATTATATGTATATAATTTATTTATAAAAATAATTTAAATAAAACCGATTTCCTCTACTTAAATCTCTCAAATTAAAATGTCATCAAATTTTTGAGAACTCGTTTAAACGATACTTGGTGTGTTTCACATTAGTCTTGTCAATAACATAAGTTTCGATAGTAGTATTATAATTACCTAATAATTCTTTTTTGTCCTTAGAAAACTTATAAAGAAGTTTTGGAACTAATTTCAATTCTGAAACGAGTTTCTGGAGTAGAATCAATTCAAGACATGGTCTTTCTCCGGTTCAGAAAACAAAATTTCTAGAATAGTTTCCTTGAAATTTCTACTCTGAAATTCAAGAGAAAGAAAAAGGAGTAAATACGTCCTATCAGTAAAGAAATAAAATGTAGGAATTACTATGCTGGAATTACTCAATTTTCTGGAATGAAACCAATTCTAGAGGAACACTTCAGACCCTTACAAGTTATTCTTTACCCACTTATCAGTTAAGAAAACTAAAATAATCGTCTTACTAGTACCTCTCTCTTCTCTATAAGTTTCTATTCCAGAGAAGAAACACTCCAACTAAGTAAATTACTATCTAGAATTAGTATTCTCTGGATAAAATATGTATGTAAAGCAAAATTATATATATATATAATTTTCTGAATATGATGTATAAATCAATACAAAGTAATTGTTATATAAATGTAAATGAAAATTTAATGACTCCTTAAAAAATAAGATAAAAATACACAGCATAGATTATAAATAATTGAAAGAAAATTTTGTAATTTATTTTTAATTCATTATACAGTATTCAAAGTAATAAAATTGTTTGTATTTAATTAATTTATTTATCTACTTAATTAAATAATTTAGTACTCGCAACCGATTCATGTCAAGAAAATTTAGTTAGCTATTTATAATATTAATCATTTACTTTACTTCATTTTCTAACGAAATTAAACATTAAAAGAATAATAATAATAAAATTTTAGGTAAACAAGTTTAAAAATTTTCAAAAAAATTAAACAGCTTATCTTGAAACTAATCATAGAAAATTTGTTAAGACTTTAAAATTAAATTATTATTATTTTTTAAATAATTTGATATTTTACAACCTTTATAATTAATAAGAATTTATGCATTGCTGAGATTTTATGTTCATTTTGTATATGTAATGAACTTTCGATTAACTTCTGTATAGCTAGCTGCACACTTATATGTTTAATTAAAATTTAATAATTTAATTCTAGTATCTTAAAAGTAAACAGAGGGGAATAGTAACTAAATTTAAATTATAAAAAAAATATATGTAAAGCGAAAATCTATTCGTCTAATTAAAAATATTGAACTTTCATATTTTATAATTAATTAAATATAAATAATTAAAAGGCTTTCATTTTGTAGATTTTAAAAACAGCCGTTGAAATATGCAAAACAAAACTAATCGTTGAAACTAAAATTTATGTATATTTCAATAATCAGTTTAAGCGCACGTGTTAATGTTTACAATTAAAAAATATGTTAATTTCAATAATCACATTAACACGTGCTCAAACCGATTGTTGAAGCGAACAGAATTTTCATATGAACGTGTTGAAATACATACATTTCAACATTGTTTATGAGCANATTTCAATAATCAGTTTAAGCGCACGTGTTAATGTTTACAATTAAAAAATATGTTAATTTCAATAATCACATTAACACGTGCTCAAACCGATTGTTGAAGCGAACAGAATTTTCATATGAACGTGTTGAAATACATACATTTCAACATTGTTTATGAGCACGTGTTAATGCTTTTAAGTAACATGACTGTTGAAATGAACATTTTTTTTTTATAAGAACGCGTGTTAATATTTAAATAAATCGATTATTGAAACGAACATTTTACTACTACTAGAGAATTAAAAAAGAGTATTTTTTTAGCCTGTCAATTTCTATTTTAACTGTAAAATACTGAAAATAAAACACGTTTTTCTCACGCAAACGAATCAATAATGGATTATCAATTTCTGCACACAGACAAGCAAATGATAGTGATGATTCAGGCAAATTGAAGTGCCTTAATAATAAATAACTATTAAAAATAACACTGTTAAGATTTAAGAAATAGAAAATATAACTGAATTTAACATAAACTTCGTCGTAATTTAACTATTGATTGAGTAAAATTAGTGAATAAAAACTCTTAGATGAATTTTTTTGATACAAAAATTGCAATTAAATTCGTTGTTTGAAATATTTTGTGTGTTAATTTTTAGGTTTTAATATGCAACGTTTCTATACAATAATTTAATTGCATCTGATTGACAAAACGAATCATTCGATTAAGAAAATGTTATTTGGAAAATCCTTCCATCATCTCCCATAATTTTATTATATGGTATAAAGAATGTTTTGTAACGGTATTCGATCGAACAATAAACATTTTAACATAATTCAACATCGAATCTAGTCAAGTAATGGTTGTGCAGCAGCAGCCTGAAGGAAGAAAATGTTCAATAAGAGCCGTCACTTCAATCTGTTCTCTTCTCTATTAAACTGCAGCAATGGATTTTCTGCTGGAATTCCTTTTTTATTTTTTAAATACAACAGATTATTCGATTCTTGACGTAATTTAAGTTAAATTGGATCAGGCATAGGTAATTCAGTTCATTAAATTTCCTCGCTTTAAATCAGTAAAACTAACGAAGCATTCATTGTTAAGACGTCTTCTCTTTCCTCTTCTTGCCTCATAATTTTGCTAATAAGTGCGACATTATGAAGTAAGAATGACTTTTTTCCTTCAATTTTTTTTGCAGTTAATGGAAACAGAACTTTTCTCTCCCTGTAACTGAAAGAAATAGGATCTAGTCACCTGGACAGGAGTTAAAATTTCGACTGAATCGCATGGGTCAGATATCTGCAACTGTTTATCGAAATGGGTAATCAAAGTCATTCTTTTATCAACCATCTTTAGATAGAAATTTTTAGAATTTTGTGATGGTGAAATATCGTTTCTGCACACAAATTATTAATCGATGACCAGAAGGGAAGTGATGCTGTGCTTCCATCTGTTGCTATTTTGGTGAGATACACCTATGAAAAATCGTGTATAATTGAATGGCTTAGGTAGCAAGCATAAATGATTTATATATTTTTATACACACAATTTAACCCCAGTATTGATATATTTGTATATAAATCATTAAGTAAATCCTTCTGTAGCATGATTTTATATTTACACAATATCTAGACTTTCCATTCCTCAAATTTCTGTAACTTTTCTAATCTTATAGTTAATTATATCTTTCAAAATATAATATTCTGTAAGAAACTGTTCATGAATAATAATTATTAGTAGTTTAAAAATAAAAAAATATACAAAAATCCTATTTTACCTTTATTAGTAGTTACAAAATTTATGCAGAAACAACACAGGCAAGATCAAAAATAAATTGAACAACACAATAAGTATTAAATATGAAATCAAATATTAACAAATTGTAAATGTGACATTTTTTTAGAGTTTTTTTTTCTTTTTAAATTTCACAAGCTGACTTCACACAGTTCTTTTAAGCTTTATTTTCCACTAAGACACTTGGTGCTATTTTAGAATCCTCCTCCTCTTTTGAAGATACCGGCATCGAGGCCTGTTCCTGTACTGGTATAGAAGCCGATTCCTGTACTTGAATGCTATACTTTTCTTTGAAGCTGTTTAGTTCTGTTCCTTTAGATGCTATTTGTTCTTTCAGATTTTCAATAGCCTTTTCGAGCTGTACAAAAGAAGATATTTGTCATAGTTAATTGAAAGTTCATCTGATATAGAGAAATCAATTTATATCATTAACAACTAAACAGAATCAAAGTGTTAATTTTCAAAGTTATATCTGCTAACAAAGAAAATTTAAATTATCTGTAAATAATAATATAATAAAAATACACAAATATAACTCACATTATAATAATGCTTGATAATGAATTAATTTAGCAATATGTGATATTGATAATCTTTTGTAAATTATATATATATACTGTATATATATTTTTAATAGTTTGCAGAATAGAAGTCTTTTGGCTAGTGTCTGTGCATAACCTTGCAAACAATAAACTTGGTTGAAAAATTTTGGATTCCAGCCTACAGTCTAGATCTGTCAATGTGCAATCACCATCTGTTTAGCCTTAGAAAGAAAGGAGATTCACCCAAAATGATAAAGTAAAGAGCTTGTCATGGTGTGACTCTGATACCAGCCAAAAGACGGTGTATCAGTGTATGGAGGGAAGTACCTAGAGAAGGAAACAAATTGGGTCTATGTAACACACACAGTTCCTCAGCATTATTGAAATTCTGAACAGAAGTGGAACCACCCTCATGTCATTAATATGATTTCTTTTAATCACATACTCCAAACCAATTACCAGTGTGCATATAAACAAAACAAAAACAAATGTTTTCCAACTCCACCTGAGTTCTTCATCAGGTTTTTGTAATAATTACCCAATGGATTTTCATAAATGCTTTTGGAGTAAAAATTTGAACAAGCGTTCAAATGTAAGCTAGAAAAATTAAAAATTATTTCAAAAGTTTTTATGAAGATCCATCAGGTAATCATTACAAAGCCCGATGTAGAACTCTGGTGGAGTTCGAAAAATGTTTGTTTTTGTTTTGTTTATGTGCACATTGTAATTGGTTCGGAGTAGGCAATTAACTATATCACAGTGTGGTGGGTGGTTGTTTACTCTTTAATGATTTCTTTTACATACTACACCACTGTCCACTAGTTTTGTTTACAAAGTATTTATGTGTAATTTTTGTTTTCAGTGAATACTAAATTCAAGTTGTTCTGATTGAGTTTGGAGCATACGAGGGATGTTCAAAAAGTATCGGACCTTCGGTCGACAAAAATACATTTATTGATTTTCAGGTACAAAACCCTAATCCCCCCCTTCAAAGCAGTCTCCTTGGTAATGTATACACTTCTCCCAACAATCCTGCCATTGCTGGAAACACTGCTGGAACACATCTTTTGGAATGGCCATCAGCCAGTCCATCGCATTCCGCATGATGTCTTCTCTTGACTAAAATTGGGTTTCTTTTAGTGGCATTTTCAGCTTGGGAAATAGCCAAAAGTCACATGGAGTCATGTCGGGAGAGTATGGAGTGTGACAAACCACAGGAATGTTGTGTTTGGCGACAAAAGTCCAAATCAGATGCACAGAATGGGTGGGTGCGTTATCATGATGGAGCTGCCAAGTTTTGGTTGACCACAGATCCGGTCGTTTGCGTCACACAGCATCACAAAGATGATGAAGGACCTCCTGGTAGTACTCCTTTGCGATGGTTTGACCTTGTGGTGCTTACTCATGATACACCACCCCACAGGAGTAAAAAAAAACTGTCAACATGACCTTGACATTTGCTGAGGACCTGCCGCACTTTTTTTGGCCTCGAGGATCGTCCCTGAAAGCCTGCTGAATCTTGCAAATGGTTTCCGCTCAGATATCGCCAAGCTTTTGGCAAAATTTGATGCAATATTGCTACTCACATTGCTCAATCATTTTCCAACTTAGTGGAATCCGACGAGTGCTCACTACACGTCCTCACTCGTATGCCAACTGCCAGCGACCAATGCTTCCTGCAGGCAGGAAAAAATTCAGGACTATGCATGACTGTCCCCTCCACAACTCCACCGAAAGAAACCTCCCGTGCATCAATGGTTTACGTGGGAAAAATAAAGGTCCGATACTTTTTGAACACTCCTCATAAAACAAAACTTCCAGAGTCAGATATTCTTGAAGCACTCATAAACAATTGATTAATTCAGACGATATGAATGTTGTAAGTTGACACCATCATAAAAATATAATTTTTGAATTTAAGTTAAAATCTCTAACTTTTAATACTGTAGTTTTAGCAAACTTCGATAGTCTCAAAGTATGTGAATGCCACACAAATAATTATATTAAACTGTTAAATAAGCCTAGCATGTTAAAAATTTTAAATCATATGCAAAAAAAATTCAATGCTGCATCATTAAATTCAACTTCAAAGATTTGTTATTTCTTCACATTTATCTCATGCCAATAAAAGCTAGGGCTGTTGATTGATCAACAATTTTAACCTTGATTAAGTGTGTGAATTATTTTATGTAAATTCAATTCTTTAGTCACGATGCTGCTTAGAAAGTCACATTGAATGATAAAAGGAAAGAGGAGTCTAATAATGACAACAATTGGTCAAAATCTGGAGATGCCAGAATACAAAGAGCTACAGCTTGTGATAAACCAGTTTCAAAGATCTTCATGAACTAACAGTGCTAAATTCTCTGATGGATTATCATGTACACAGATTGCAAGGAATTCAAAATTACAGTGGTACCTCAGGATACGAAATTAATCCGTTCCGAAACCGAGATCATATCATGAAAATGTCGTAAGGTGAATCATTCTTTCCCATACAATTACATGTAAAACCAAATAATTTGTTCCAACATGAAAAACACACTCAAATTAATTAAAGCTAAGTAGTACATTAAAAAAAACAACTATAGTAAGGAAAACACTGAAAAATGCATTTTGTAGTTGTATAAATAACCATAACAGAATAATAATTGATAAAAATAATGTAGTTTTATTTGCACTTTACCTTTGAGGATAGACTACGGTGGAGGTGTAAACTGGAGGCGGAAGAGAGGGAGAAGGGAAATGCTACTAAAACTTAACTTACATAACATAATGTAACAACTTAAAAATAATTTAGAAAAGATAAATATATATATATTTTTTATTTTTATTCACTGCTTTTTGCTTTCTTTCCTTCACTTCCACTGGATAGAGGTCGCTTGGTAAAATATCTATCCAAAGAGGTTTGGCTTTGCCTACTTTTCAAAATGTTTCTAAAATTACTTAGGCAAATGTCACTACTCTGAGCAGCAATAAAAGCTAGTGTGAACCTTTTTGGGATGGTTCTTTTCAATAAAATCAGTCACTTTCTGATAATACTTAAGATTTCCTTTATCGAGCGAGATCCTTCCACGACGAAGCAAACACGCGGACTGAGACCAATGAACAGAAGTGAATAAAAAATGGCGTTGCTAACTAATGTAACGTCATATGGTGAGTTTTTGTTTGTATCGTGGAGCAAAAATATGTTCTAATTTCATGTCGTATCCTGAAAATTTTGTATGCTGGGGCTTTCGTATACTGAGGTACCACTGTACCATTTTCAACAGTATAATGTGACAATGTGAACAAGGATAATGTGAAATTCCTACAAAGAGGACATTAAAAAAAAAATCAACTATTTGACCATTACCAACTCATGCAGCAAGGGATGATAGTCTTGAGACTAACTGTAGTAAAACATCAAGATAAATCTATCTTTCAGAGATAGATTTATCTTGGTTTTTTGCAACAATTACTTCACTATTAATTTATTTACTTCAGATAAATTAATGTTGTTACGAGGTTTCAAAATACGTGTTTGCTTCCACTTGTTTGCAGTGTAAAAACACTAGGATACTTGATTTTACAATCTGAAAGCAAAACAGTTATTAACAACATAGTAAAAGAAAGGAAGATTGAAATAGGCAAGAAAAATAGAATACCAGACAGTAAGAAGGAAGAAGGTTCTTTTTTTTTCTGATAAAGCAAAGTTTGAGGTGTAGTTTGGATGTAGAGGTAAAATGTTAAAAAACTTATCCTTATGTGCACCTTGTTGATACTGGACAATTAGACTGTGTACACATTAGGCTTTTTGAAACATGCACTTTAAAGAACCAACAGTTCTGCATAGGTATACATACTCAAATGTGTGCTTCTGGCCAAGCACACGTCAAATGCGCGTTGATAGATTTTTGTTAGAACACGTATTTCGCGGGTGTTAGCTGCGCGCTTTGAGATACATGTGCTGCCATGTTATCGTACATTTGATCGCGCGTTTTCGGGTAGAGTGGACACACGTTGGCCGAAATGGAGAACGATCATTTCGATACTGATCTATTTATTGATGAAATCTAAGAGACTAGCCATCATCAAATGATTTTATAGATATTCTAAAAGAATTAAAAAAATTGGGTTCATATTGTCTTAGTTTTGGATACAACGTCACAAACATTCCATGCGTCAGTCTATCTCATAATATTGGGTGCACCAAAAATGCCCTTTGCCTCTGCCATCGTCTTTTATAGCGACGATGGAGGAGGCACACACAAGCAATTACTTTCATGTCCATTTCCAAACTGAGCCAGTGCAAATGGTCGTTGAATGCTGAGCTAATGCACGGTGTGTATGCTGCTAACGCATGTTTAACACAACGCAAAATGCCTAATGTGTACACAGCCTTAAACTCGCAAAAGCTTCATGGTGTAGGGTTGCATGAATGGAAAAGGGCTTTGCATTTTATTCATGGAACTGTGAAAGCTCAGCATTATATTAATATTTTGGTTGGAAAATAGAACCATCCTATTCAGAAACTGCATCCTGATAAAGATTTTATCTTCCAGTAAGATAATGAAACACAACCAAGAGTGTTAAAACATGGTTAAAAGATGAGAAGACTGACATATTACCATATATAGCCAGCAAACAGCACAAACATGTCATCAATAGAGAATTTGTGGGATATTCAAAAAATGTTGTTAAAAAGCAACACTATTTAACTACACATGAATTGTGCCAAATATCACAAGAAAGGGATAAAATCACAAACAAGCAGTATGAAAACTTGTTTCTAACATATCAGAGTGGATTTATGCACTCAAAAGCAAAAGGTAATGTAACAACAGGTTTCTTTCTGATGGCAGACTTCTTGGATGGTAAGTGTCTGCTTTAACTTTAATAGATCGCTGCAAACTCAAATATAACACAAATTAATCAAATTTTTGATTAAATCCATTGGTGCTTAAGGTGTACCCAGTCATTATTGTCAATAACCCACATGGTTACATCTAAATTAATAGTTTTGGAAGCAGAGTTTGATTGAGGTCTGGGTAGTGTAATTGACAACATCTGCATGGTAAACAGAAGTTGCTGTTCAACTCAAGCCAGATTCTTTCCTTTTAGAAATTTCTGAATTAAAACAATTTATTATAATTAATATAAGATGGTGTCACATCCACCTATCTCTGATCAAATAAATTAATAACTAATCATCAACATAGTTCAAAGATAACCCAATAATTTGGTAGATCGTTTGGAGTCAATCATTTATAAGTTACTGTGTAATGATAAGGATGGAATTGTTATGCTGAATGCTTCAGATGTGTATTGGAGCTCTATTAGAGATGATAGGTGTGGACCTAACTTAGAATATGTATGCACGACAGACCTTCTCAAATCCTGAAGAAATGGTCCGATCATCATGCCCCTGCAGCATTGTGGGTGACGTTAAGAACATTGCCTTCCTTTTTACTAGGAACATGTGTGGCTGGAGCTATGACTTGTCGACAAATGCACATGTGCATTTGAGATGAGTGATTTTCAGTACTACAAATATTTTGGCACATATTGTATTTAAAAATTGTTGCTGGAAGAGAAAGGTTTGCAACTGTGACTATTTAACTTATTGTGTTATCAACTCAAGAGAATATCTTAATAGCAAATTAAATATTAGTCTACTGCAATTTCATTTTCAACACCAATTCATAGAGTTACAAGTAAATTTCCTATAATTAAAAATATCACAGAAAATCTTTCAAATTCTTTATTAATAGCAGTTACGCTACCCGAACCTCTGGTCCGATCTTCTCTTCCAGCATATTTAAGTTAAGAAATAACCAGTTATGGTTATTACAGCCCAACTGGGGACACGCTCGTGCCCTTGGCCTTAATACTGTTTGTTTATTGTAATCTGTAGTATCAGCAGCTCTCTCTTAAACACTCTGTTGTGTGTGTACTAAAAGAGCCAAATCTTTTAAAACTTAAAGTACAATGGCTTTTTGAATCTTGGAACGTTTAACCTGAAGAAGGCCAAAGAATACGGTCAAACGTTTGAGTGACCAGTAAAATATTTATTTGAAAAAACAAAGGTTTATTGTGAATCTATTTTATATATATTGTACCAGTACCTGGTGAGGAGGAACTTTTACACAAACTAAAAGAGCCTTTTTTCATGTCCAATCATGGGCTTGACCATGCTCACAATAGGTTGGCAGCTTTGTGAGGATAGGGCCTAATGTATTTAGCTCAAACCAACTATGAAAATTTAAAAATATGATCTCAACTCGAACTCAAATCCATCAGAGTAGACACACATCACCATAATATAACCACCAAATCTATAAGCCATGTAAAACTACATACAAACTCAAAATTATGCTGAAAAAATAATTTAATTATAATTTACAGATTAGAATTTCAAGTTATTATGACTTGTTTATGAATGTTTCGATTTAAACATTTGAAATATAAAAGAAAATTATATTTTAATTAATGAAGTTTAATTAAGCAGGTTATTTTTGAGTTGTAATAAGAATGATTAAACTAATGAATTTGATCAAAAGGTAAGTAGTAGGCTGTCATTTTGTATTAATATTAATAATTATTCTTTAGAAAGGTTCAAATCTATTTCACAATTTGAAATAGATATATTAACTACTCAGCAGTGAGCGACGACTAGACAACTGTATACAAAATCTTTTTCTGAAACAGTAATGAGAAATAACGCTTGGAAAAATACTTTTAAAATTTTCCACGTTTATTCTCCACTACCTGGGGTAGAACCATGCCTGACTAGTCCACTGTTGAAAGGTTAACATATATCTATTTAAATTAATAAAGTATTGATATGCATTAAGAAATGATTAATTTTTATATTTTGTAAAATTTTAAAACTAAATAGGAGATTCAATTCTTGTGAAATTGTAAGATCAAGACTTGAATTTCTTGACTTATTTTGTCATATTTCAATCATTTTATTTTATAAAAAGGGAAAAAATTCATTAAAATACTTATGTTTTCTATGTGTGAATCAATAAGAAATATTAGTAATTAATGCATTTCAATGAAATATCTTGCAGATTTTAGTCAATTTAAAAACATTAAAAGAAATATTATAACTGGCATTGACCTTTACTTGCTTTGCATCATCACAAAACCATCAGCTTATTTAATAAACCATTGTTCTTGGTTCAACAATTTGTGTTAACCAACAGAATAATATTGAATTATTACATAAAACAACTCAGTCCATATTTTTATAATTAAATACACCAATAACTTAACACATTTAAATGATACTTTGATATAACTATATATTGAAAAGTCATACTTGTAACAGTATTTTATAATATTCTGTCATATATAATGAACACTCAACTAGCAACATTATAAATAACAGCTTGATAAAGTCTAAAAATTGTTTGCACTAAAATAGGCTATGTCATCCCATTATTAATAATTTAAACTTGATTAATTTCAAATTTTGCCAAATCCATTGTGTAGGGTAAACATTGGTAAATTTGTAATGAAATTAATTATTCTTTAATTATCGTATATATATTTTAAAAATGAACGTGTTAACTGTACTATTAAAGTTGACCATACTCTCAAGATAACAGCATGGCATTTTACCATTATGAATATATTTATATGTTAATTTTCTAGCAGTATATTTATATTGCATACAGATGGTTATTTCGTGATAATACATTGCTAATTTCATGAGGGTCCTTTAGCTTATATATTTGACTGCAATTTAAAAAAATTATAGACCTATAAATGCCCACTGTTTATGTCTATGTCAGTCTGTCCTTCCTTAATCTCAAGAACAGAGCTAGATAGATGAAAGACAAAAAGAAATATGGAAAGCTTAGGAAAAGATTGTCCAAATTAACAATATAAGAACTTCCGATGAAAACCAAAAGTCACATTATTTCAGTTTGAAATTTTTCCTGACAGGAATTAGATAGATGACTCAATTGCTAACAGGAAAAGTATGATGTATGGGAGCAAGCCACTACTAATGAGGTGGAGAGGATATATTTTTAAATTAAATAAATTTAAAATTGTGACTTCATCACAATAAAAAATTACTGGTATATTGAACACTTTCCATTCTTGCAACTTTTAGCTTAGAATGTTGTCCAAATAGCTAAAGAAATTTAAATGCACAATACAATAAAAAAATAATAACTATGTATAATAATAATAATGTGTTTAAGTTAATTGGTAATACTAAAGCTAAATGATTAACAGATTATATTGAGCTATATTACTACTACTATTATTAATTAAATGCTGAGTAATTTGGCACTAGAGGCAGGTGTTAGGTACCATCTCTGCCTCTGATGCCAAATTATTTAGCATTTAATTTGTAATAGTAGTAGTAATATAACCCAATCTAATCCAGCAATTGTTTAGCTTTAATATATAACTATCAAGTTTAAGGTGTTTATATTTGTACATTATAAATAATTTGTTTTTTTAATTTTTTACTTAACTTTTTACTGTTTACCCATGCATCATGCCAAGAGTAAACCAAGACAATGAGAGAAGCTAGTAAAAAGTCAAATTAAACATGCTTTTCACAATACTCAAGTATCTAGAATAGATCCATTATAATTATATCATGAAATTACTTAATCTGAAAATCTGCTACAGACTAGTAACTGGAATATGTGTAAAGTACATTGTCTTTTCTTGTGTCAATGATTAAGCAGCAGCAAGAAGTATACATCTATTTACATTCAAAATAGAGAGGCTGTAGCTGATGTTTTCATCGCAAAAACATGTACACCGGATGTTCAGCGCTGCCTTCCTGTAAATCTAGAAGTTTGGCAATGGTGTTTGAAACATCAAGCATGATTCCATTGACATTCCAAATGCCATTGTCAAACTTCTAGGTTTACAGGAAGGCAGCGCTGAATGTATGATGTACACGCTTTCGTAATGAAAATGTCAGCCGCAACCTCTCTATTGTCTTGGAAATATGGAAAAGTGTATAAAAAGGAAATTTTTAATTCCTTAAGCTTCTTCTTTCTCATATTTGTAACAGCAAATGAGTGTCATCAAGATGTTGAATCCTCGTAATATTTGTTAAAGAAAAAAGTTTCATATGCAAATGTGTCCTATAAGCTGTAAACATATCGAGGATATCCTTTGAAAATATGTACTATTTATTGTTTAAAAATAAATTTCTTCTTTGATTTCAAGCCTTACACGAGAAAAATGTCAGAGAAGTTGTATATGTGCATGTATGTTTGTCATTAAAGTTATATGATTATTGTGACTAGTGAAAGTCTAATTATATATGTGATTTTCATATCACACATATAATTAGACTTTCACCTTAATGAAAAAAAAAAAAAAAAAAAAGCATATTAACCTGATCTCTGTTGTTCAGAACTGCAGGCAAGACTTCTTTAACAGTACGTTCTACAAGAACACCTCCAATCATTCTGAAACATTTCCTGCCTTCTGGAACTTCTTTTAGAGCATCTGCTACTAAACTAAATAGATCATAAACAGATAAGAAAAACAAGATTTCGTAAGTTACAATGTAAAATAATTTTACATAAATCTTAAAATTTATATATTACAACAAAAGTTATAAATTCATATTTAAGAAGAGTATCATACAGTATATCACTAAAAGAAACTTGGTTTTTTTAGCCAAAATAAACTTTATTTCAGGATTTAATAAAAATATATTTATGAGTGTATCCAAGATCCTCCTATCATCTGTGTTTAATAGGCATATCATTGTCCACCAGAAATAGCATGTTAGCCAGTCCTCCAAGCTCCATCTTTCATTCACATGATATTTATGAGGTATACACAGAGGGACATATCAATCTGAGTGACTAAGTAGGTGAGCAGCATGTCTGCCCATCCTGACAGTCTTTCTCTCTTTTTTCTGACTTCCCTTTGAATGGATACTATGGACATGATGGCCAGTCAATCCAGAGTTGGGCCAGTAGCTATGGATTGGCTGCCCACTGTTCTCTACTTCAGATCTGTAATTAGCAATACTAGTCAGATGCCAGGACATCTGACTAATATTGTTAATTATATATTACAATCTCTGACTACTTTCTAGCAAAACTGGTCTAACCAAGACAACAAAATTTCTTTGTCCCTGTCTGAATCTGCTAGACCTAGTCAATATACACAAAATTTATTATAGAAGAAAAAAATTAATATGGAATTATTATTATTAGTGCTTTCTTTTTTTGCCAGCATATTTATTTAGTTAATTCAGTAACTAAATAAATTTGTAGTAATTCAAACACAAATAATTATCGTATTTATTTTCAGGCACTTGGCAATTCTTATCATCAAGTTTTTATTCAGTTTTATCAACTGAATAAAAACTTGATGATAAGAATTGCCAAGTGCCTGAAAATAAATACGATAATTATTTGTGTTTGAATTACTACTAATAACTACAAGCACGGTTTCAAAAGTACCATAAATAAATTTGTGATAAACTTTTATGTTATGTTAAACTACTGATGACATTAATGATTAAATAAATTAATAAATTTGGAAACATCTGGAAGTGAACACTTGAAAATTAGATGCAAGATTAGTTATAATAGACTTTCAACCTGGCTTTCATGAGATCTTGTAATTGCAATAATTTTCTAGAAAAGATATTGCAAAATTCCATATTACCACATGAAATTATGACCCACTTTAAACAATATTTAAAGTCCAGTAACCAGAGGCAGACTAAGGCTAAAGCGGGCCCTAGGCAACATTGTAATTCCGGGCCTATTTTTAAAATTAAAAAATTAAAAACCTAATTTTTGGGGCCCCAAAAATTACGGGCCCTAGGCACGTGCCTAGGTTGCCTAGGCCTTAGTCCGCCCCTGCCAGTAACAAACATTTTAATGTAAAAAGCTTTTGACAAATGTTTTCAACCTTGACCAAGGTCTTCCTCATGTCTTTAAATTAATGAAATTTCAAATTAGAATGTGCAGAACAACTTTTCAAAATATATATTTTTTTTAAATTGGAACAAAACATAATGCCATATAACAAACAAAAATTAAACAGTGGTAAATATAAAATTTAATACACATATAAAGCTAACAAACAAAAATTAAGGAATAACTTAATACCAATTAATAAAAATTAATCTATGTCGGCACTTCCCAGTTTTTCATAAAAGCATTGCCATATACGAGACTGTTTTTCTGTCCTTAAAGTTAATACATTTGCCAGTCTTATATATTTCAAAGGCATCTGGGGCCCTAATGTGATCTGTCTGAAATGACTGCCTTATTAATGTGGCATTTTGGAGATTGGCTCACACATCAGGCTCAATGGAGTAAGTGGACAGGGCAGTGGTATGCCTTTTGTTCAAAATGTTTTAACAATGTTCTTGCACCCTTTTTTTGTATTGAGCATTTTGAGGACCCAATGTACACTAAATCCCTTTGGACTCTGTCCCTTACAGAAACATTGTACACCCCTGGAGCTCTACGTTTATCGGCCTTGTCCTTCCCATTGCATAATAACCTATATATCGTGGAGCTCTTTTGTATGCAAGCTTGATACTTGTATTATCAGCAATTTCTTTAAATAAGTTATGTAAATGCTGGTTATACTCTATCACCGTGCACCTGGAGTTAGGTTAGCATGCTTGACATTGATCTAGAAACCCCTTGGGAGTTGGAGATGATGTGCATGGCTTGTTGGTTGGAGTAGGTGCAGAATAAATTACATATTAGGTCCCTTCTACACCCATGTTTTATAGCTATGTCTGCCAGATGTTTTAACTCTATTAAAGTGTCTTCCCAACTAGTATAGAGTGTATAGTCTTGTTAGTGCATGGAAGGCTGCCACTTTATATAAAAAAGGGTCAATTTTTACATTATAATGTTTGTTACTGGACTTTAAAGCTTGTTTAAAGTGTGTTTGTGATTTGTTCTAGTATTGAGAAGAAAGTAATTTTACATGAAATTAAAATTAAATAAATTAAAACATAAAAAAAGCTTAAGCATGATGTTGTCCATTGAAGTGTAGAATGGCACAATGTAGAAATGAGTGAAGATTACATAATGGAATAGAAACATGGTTTCAGAAAGAAATACAATATTTTAATAATCACAAATCACAACAAATAAATAACTATTAGCAAAGCAGAAACGGTTGAATTTTTGATAAAATAAAACCAAAACCAGTTAAATAACTTGCTTGCGAAACAGAAGATAAAGTAAAATATACTTCCAAAAAAGAATGCTACCATTTTAAATTATTGTAATTATATTAATCATCATCCAAGAATGTTGTAATATACATTAAAACATTAGAAAAGCATCCAAGTTTCACATTTGTTCATTACAATTTCTTGATGTGTGCACCTTATGTCATGTGGCATGCATCCGAACAATACACAAATTCTTCTTATGCTTGCTATGGCATATCCATTGTCACTTCTCCCATGGCAGTCACAATTCTATGGCTCCTATGGATTACTCATGTTGCACAATGACGAACAATTCCAACTTTGCAAACTGCCAAACACAAAATGACGTCCCTATTGCAGTGTTACCATTTTTGTTTACAGCACTTTCTAGAGGTAGTAGACAACAAGATATTTGAATGCCGATGGAAGGTGATATTCGGACAGTTACTCTAGTAATTGGTGTACACCACATACTTTTCAGATAATAATTAACATAATTAATTACAATAATTTAAAAATCATTGTATTCATTTTGAAAGACCCTATATATATATTTAATTAAATTAAATAATATATATGTATTGACACTCTAGAATTTCTGATCAATAACGATATTCAATATTAAAATTATATAAATGTAATTACCTCTTGTATAGTGAAATCTCTCTTATAATATATAGAATGGCACAAAAATCAATTAAGAAAAATATAGTTTATAGAAAGAGTTAAAACTAATTTGGAACAGTTGCATGTTTTATCTCTAATGAGTGAATGAATCACAAAATGGTTTCATTCTTAAAATATATTCAATTAATTGACTTCTCGATCATCCTATATTTCAATAACAATTGCTTTTTCCACAATATATATGGATGGATTGATGGGATAAGGCAACATAACACATGAAATCAATCTGCCAAGAGGGAGGTCTCACAGGAAGACTTTTTGGAAAACTGTCTCCTATTTAGGTGTTAGACACATGAAGAACATCTGGAAAAATCCACAGCACATTAATCAGGTAGAGCCCACAACCAACTACAAGTGTCTGGTGGTTTATCAAACTTCAACATTATATGATCTTGAATGATTTTCAGCAAAATTTTAAATATATTTTCTTTAAATGTATCACATATTGTAGAAGAAAAAAATTCTTCAATAATTTCTTATACAATAGCCCTTATTAAATAAATAGCAATGAATTTATACATTAGACAAGCGTCATGGGTTTGAATTCCAACCTAGGTTAACTTTTCAAATTATTTTATATTTTAAAAATTTACAGAAAAGGTACAACTTCATTTCATAAAGCTTGGCTAAGCTGTAAAAATGCACAGTATCAGAAGATATGTACTTAGTGAAGGAAACAGATTGAGGAACATTTGACAAAGTCATTGTGTGTTATCAAAAACGTATTTGATCTTTGTGAAACTTCCAAAGCACCAAGTATCACTCATTGCCCAGCCAAAATATGTGAAATGTTCTGCACAATGTTCCCCTTCTACAGGGTATCTCTAAATTCATTTACAATTTTCAAAATCAATAAAATCTCAGCCTGGCCACTACTACAGTGTGATGAGTGCATTTGGTAGTAGAGAGGTACAGTTTTTCACTCAGTTTAATAAGAATCAATTGTATTCATTTAGGGCAACATCCTCAGTACTAAATACTTGGAAACCAGGTTGAAGGAGAACTTCAAGAAGTCATGAAAATATGGACATTGTGTCAGTAGCAGTTCTATGTAAACTGAGGCATTCTGTGCAAACATACAGCTGCTCTTGCCATCCATCGTTCATTGGTTCATTAGATTATGAAGTTAAACAAATGTTTATATCCATAAAGTCCAAATCATGCAGAAAATAATGAATTCATATTATGAAAAATGCAAATCTTATAGCAAGAAAATGTTGAAAGATTTTGTTTCCAGTAATGGCTTAAGTGGAATGTTTTTTGGAGTGATGAGGTCCACTTTGACCTAAACAGATGTGTTAATGAACAAAACTGTTGCTATTGGTCTCAACAGAACCCTAAAAACAATCATCAGAGACTGTTACACAATTCTGAAATGACAATTTGGTTTCTAATGTCTAGGACAGGAATTATTGGTCCGTATTTCTTTGAGGACAGTCGAGGTCACCCACTTTCTGTCAACTGTACTGTACATATTCTGAAATAAGAAAGTTTTTCATACTAAAGCTTCATCAGCATCCTGCATATAATGTGAATACATGGTTTCAGCAGCATGGAGCAACAGCATACACTTCAAAAGCCTCACTGAGCACTGTTTAATAATGTTTTTTCTAGGTAAAATTATCT